ATTACAAGCACCCGCCACCACGCCCGGATAATTTTTGCACTTTCAGTAGAGGCAGGGTTTCACCATGTTGGCCAGGTTGGTCTCAAACTCCTGACCTCAAGTGATCCGCCCACCTTGGCCTCCCAAAGTACTAGGATTACAGGCATGAGCCACTCATTTCACTTTGAAACCCAGCCACTCCTGCAGGCTGTAGTGCTCTCTTTCTCTGTCATTCATTCCTTTACTCACTCACCGATTATATGCGTCAGACACTTTCTGTGTGCCAGGCATTGCTCCGGGCTGGGGATTATGTAGGAATAAGACAGGCTTTTCTTGTGGAAGTTACATTCCAGCAGGGAAGACAGACAGTAAACAAATGAATGACTAAATACATGATAGGATTGTAAAGAGAAGGACTCAAAAACATCAAGTAGGGTGTGGGGCCAGAGAGGGAAGAGGCCATTGTAGCTGCAGCGATCAGGAAGGGCTGGGCTTTCTCAGGAGGGACGTCTGAGCAGACGCTTGAGTTAAGGAGAGAAGAGGCCATCCAGCCATGGGGAGAAGAGTGTGGGGCAGGAGCTGGAGACAGGTGGGTGCACAGATCCTGTCACCCAGGGTGGCATTCATTTCTCAACCTGCAGTTATCATTTTATCCCTCCATGAAATGTTAATGCCACAGGTACTCTGAATGTCTGTTGCTGCTCTTGGTCTATATACACAGAGTAAAAAGAGTAAGATGCTTTGTTCTGCAAGAATAAATTCCTGGGGGCAATATTGCCCCTGTTGGGGATGCATGATATAGAGCCCTCTGACCAATTTGAGGAATTGGGTCTAGGTGTGACAGCTCACACCTGTAATCCCAGCACTTTGGGAGGCCGAGACAGGCGGATCACCTGAGGTTGGGAGTTTGAGACCAGCCTGGTCAACACAGTGAAACCCTGTCTCTACTAAAAATACAAAAATTAGCCAGGCATGGCGGAGGTTGCCTGTCATCCCAGCTACTCGGGAGGCTGAGGCAGGAGAATCACTTGAACCCAGGAGGCAGAGGTTGCAGTGAGCCGAGATCGTGCCATTGCACTCCAGCCTGGATGACAGAGCGAGACTCCGTGTCAAAAAAAAAAGAAAGGAATTGGTATATTCCAGTGACTAATTTGGACTAAAAGGAGTTCAAGAAAACTCACTCTACAGACTCCCCAGACCAGGGCTCCCTTTGGGTGTCTCATAGAGGCCTCAAACTTCGAGTGTCTGGAGCTGAGCTTTAGGCAGTAGCTGTGTGCACTGAAGCTCCTCCTAAGGCCGCCCCTCATCCTCAGGCTGCAATTCCCCAGTGTCAGCAGCTTCTCACTCAGGCCAAGGAAACGTGGCTCCATTCTTGGCTCTCCTTTCTCTCATGTTCCAAACACTTCTCACCCCCTTCTCTGCCACCATCCTGGCCAAGCACCCACCTTCGTTCACCTGGCCCCCTGCAGCAGCCTCCTGCCTGGCAGCCTCCCTTGGGGCCTTGTCCCCTGGAGCCTGCAGGATAGTAGGTGCCCCCTGAGTGAGGAGGAAAAAGAAGAGGTAGGAGAGTGTGCTGTGGGTTGTCCCCATGGGTTCCTGGAACCAGGGGGAGGAAGAGGAACCGTACCTTCTACCAGGGCCCATGCCCCAGCCAGCATCGGCAGTGGGGATACTGATGACACACACGGAGCGGGTGTGAACACCAACTCCTGGTGGGGCCCCCTCATCCCGTCCACTCCTGCCCCACCGGCCTGATACCCTTTTAAAAAAAGGAAATCTTGGCCGGGCGTGGTGGCTCACACTTGTAATCCCAACATTTTGGGAGGCTGAGGTGGGCGGATCACGAGGTCAAGAGATCGAGACCGTCCTGGCCAACATGGTGAAACCTTGTCTCTACTAAAAATACAAAAGTTAGCCAGCCATGGTGGCACGCACCTGTAGTTCCAGCTACTCGGGAGGCTGAGGCAGGAGAATCGCTTGAACCCAGGAAGTGGAGGTTGCAGTGAGCCGAGATTGCGCCCCTGCACTCCAGCCTAGTGACAGAGGGAGACTCTGTCTCAAAAAAAAAAAAGAAAGAAAAAAGAAAGGAAATCTTAGGTGGGCACCCGGCCTCATTACCCTCTCGTCCTCCAGGTATGGTGTCCTTCCTCTCCAGAAAGGGACACTGGGCTCTGTTCTTGCAGCCACCACCTGTTGCTAGGGGCCTGCTAGGTGCCTGTCCAGGGCTGGTTCTGGGGCTGCAGGGACATGGAATGGCAGAGGGGCAGCCCACGCACAGCCCCTCCTTCTACTCCACATTGAGTTCATCCTTCAGCCCGAAGCTCAAGCGAAGCTTCCTCGGGGCCTTGCTTGGCTGTCCTGGTCTCCTCCCGCCCTCCCGCTCAAGGCCTCTGGGATTTCTCACAGCATTCGCCCCGTGCATAATCAGATGCTGCTGTGAGTCCTCGGCTGCCATCTGCCTCACCCCCCACGCTGCGTGCCTCACGTGGACAGGCCTCCAGTTACGTTGGCCACTGTCCCCCACATCCAGCCTGGCGGCTGCCAGGCAAAAGAAACTTTGTAAACAGTGTGGGAAAGCAAGTGAGCTTGGCACCCAGGTGGTGGGGGGCCAAAGGAATGGAGTTTGAACCTGGCCTGGGGCAGCCTCTCAGCAAAGGAGCAAGGGAGGCTGTGACTGAAGGAGGCTCTCCTTCTCCCTCCCGGTGATGATTCGGGGCTTGAGGACAGGTGTTAGGAAGAGGGCCTGGGAACTCGCTGTGATTAGCACAGCCAGGCTGCTCCTGGGAGCCTTTCTTTAGGCCTCTTATCTTGGTGGCCTTGCGGGAGGGAGATGCCAGGCTCGCTCATGGGCCAGAGCACACAGCGTGCCTTCCCCCAGCGCTGACCCTGGCATTTCAGGGCTGTGGCCGGAGCCAGATGTAGAGGGTGAGACTCTGCGTCTGAGGCCTGGTGAGCAATGACGATTCTCCTGCTTTTTCTTCCAAGAGCGTCACTGGGAGCGTTGCCATAGGAACGAGGCCCTGGGAGGGGCGAGGCACTCCCCTTTTGCTCTCCCTGATCCTCTGTATCCCAGCTTCCCCATTTCCGCCCTCCCCTCACAGAGTCCTCTTCTCCGAGCTGCCGTGGTGCCTGGGGGACATGCAGATGTTTCCAGCACTTGGCAACACAGTAGCCTGTGGTCTCCAGGGCTGTGTAAACCCTCCATAGCCCCTCTTTCAGGCCCCTGACCCTGTCTCTCAAGGGGCTCTCTTGTCTCTGTGTCTTCCTTCAGACTGGCCCCAAACTGGTCCCGTCCCCCTTTCAGGGCCATCACCCCGGTCAGCAAGATCGGGGCTTGATGCTCTGACCAGTGAAAGCCGTGGTGCTATTCATGGTGGGAATCGGGGGGCAGGGAGCTCTCGGGGTGAGGCTGGGAAAGCTGATGAAAGACTGGCCAGGAAGTGACTCATGTCCTTTGCTCCAAGTGGCTGCGCCAGACAGATTTCTTTTCTCCAAGCAGCCCGCCTGCCCTTTTAGGCATCCCTGCTTGTCCCCACACAGTCTTGTCCTGCTCTGCGCAACCCAGTGCCCTCTCCCCTGCCTTCCACCTGGTGAACCACTTCAACTTTCAGAACCAGCTCAAATGGAACGCCCTCTGGAGACCCCCTTCTCCCCACCCCTCCGAAGGGAGTGACTTTCCTCTGTGTTCCATAGCCATGTGCGTTGTTCACAGCACTGTTGTGTCTTGTGGTCATTTCTTTGAGTTTCTGCTGGGTGCCAGGCACAGGGCTGGGCTCTCAGTTTTACAGGCATAAATAAGACCTACTTTCTGCCCCAGAGAGCTCACGGTCTAATGGCGGACACAGGTACGCAGAGCGGTGAGCGCCTCTGGGAATGAGCATCTTAGGAGAGGCCTCATTGAAAAGATGTCCCCATGGAGGCCTTGAGGTTGAGTAGGATTTTAACAGGGTGCCATACAGAAGCTCTTTGGGGACAGAGATGGTTTCTCTTCTGTCTCACAGCTTGCACAGGGTCTAACATAGAGTAAGCATCTAGTATCCGGGCAGCGGGTGGATGGATACAGTTCTGCCAGGAAAGTCTTTGCGAAGGAGCCGGGCTTTGCGGGATCCTTGAAGGAGGCAAAGGAAGGGGCTTGAGGGTCAGAGAGAAATGAACATGAAATGAGGGAGCAGTGAAGAGTGTCCCAGAGGAGGCAAGAGGGACAGATGGAATTGAGGGGGTTGGAGAATCCAGCATAGTCTGGAGCAGGGCTCTGAGAAGAAGGCTCGGGCACAGAGCCCCAGTGTTCAGTGTGTCTCTGGTGGACTTGAGCAGCAGGAAGTGGTCATCTTCACCAGGTGCACCCACCAGAGCATTGCCTTCAGCAGGTGGCATCTGGACCAGGACACTGAGGTGAGGGAGAAGGGAAAGGAATCTCCGGGGTGTCCGGGGTAAGGTCTGAGAAGCCATTGCAGAAGGGAGATGCTGCTTGCTGGAGTTGGCAAGGGTGGTGGAAAACGGCCCCAGGAGTTGGCTGTAAGCCTGGTGAACGTGCCCAGCCCCTCCAAGGAGGAAGCGAAAAGTAAATTCAAAATGAATGAGCCTTTTGAGTTTCCATCCAACTTCAGTCTTTATCACAAGAAAGGTCATCTGGTATCAGAAAACCAGGACTGGCCTCTGTCCCATGCACCGGGCAGGGGTGTTCGTACCACACATTATCCACAGGGGAAGCACGCTGTCCTGCTGGTGGGCACGTGTGGCCAACGCGGGGACTGTGAACCCGACTGGCAGAGGGAGAGAAACGCGGTAGACTCTTTTTCTTTACAGTCAGCAAAATTTCGGGAGCGCCTCCAGCTTGCCAGGCTCTGCCCAGGGGCCCTCATGTACCCGTGGTGACGGCATTCCTCACCACCACCCCGACAGGCGGATGTCAGAGCTCCTTTGCAGCTGAGAACACCAAGGCTCTGAAAAGGGGGACTGCCCTGAAGCCACCCAGTGGGCAAGTGGGGCCACATTGCAGACTCCACTGTGTGTTGTTCCAGAAAACTCCACGGCCAGCGTGAGCGAGGCAGAGAGAAAGGCGCAAGTGTACTACCGTGCGTGCATGAACGAGACCAGGATCGAGGAGCTCAGGGCCAAACCTCTAATGGAGTTGATTGAGAGGGTGAGTCCCTCAGGCTGTCCCTCCCCAGCCCCGGCCCATGCCACCTACCCGCCCCCTGGCTTTCACTCCAGTCCTCTGGTACCACTGGCCCACCTCATACCTCCAGCCGGTAGCACCGAGAGAAAGACAGAGAGAGAGAGAGAGCAAGTGTGTGAGAGCGCATGTGAGTGTGAGCACATTGCGTAGCTGCGTGGGTGGGATGTCTGTGCATGTGTCTGTGTGAGGGTATGTGTCAGCATCTGTTGTGGATGTCTGTCATCTGTCTGTGTGTCTCTCTGTGCATCTGTGTGTGGGACAGGGGCCATGTTTAGAGGGAAAATATTCCTCCACGTTGCTGCTGCTTTATCCTCAGGGGTTATGTGTGTGTGTGTGTGGAGGGGTGTGTGCCCGTTCCAGAAAGACCCACAGAGAGTCTTGGCGCAGAACCAGAGCCCTCCCTGTGAGCAGGGACCCAGGCCACTCTCCTATACCTGCTTCCTCCTGAGCAGGCGAAGACATCTTTCCTGCTTTCTTGGGCACCTCCCGGACTCCGAGGCTCCCCGGTGCAGACAGAAGGTGTCCGTGGATGTTTTCTGCCTGCCTCGTGTTCCCTGGACCGCCTCGCCTCTTAGCTTGGCTCCAGGAAAGCATTGCAGCAGGGTTGGTGGCTGCACACGCTGGGGACTGGGCTAGTCCCCTCCTTTCTGGACAGGTCCCATGGGCCAAACCAGGGAAGACCAGGGAGATTTTTTTTTAAATCCCAACTTTCTCGGGAGGCTGAGGTGGGAGGATCACTTGAAGCCAGGAGTTTAAGACCAGCCTGGGCAACATAGCAAGACCCCATCTCTCCAAAAAAAAGTTAAAAATTAGCCAGGTGTGGTGATACACACCTGTAGTCATAGCTACTTGGGAGGCTGAGGTGAGAGGATGGCCTGAGCCCAGGAGGTGGAGGCTGCAGTGAGCTGTGATGGCCCCACTGCACTCCAGCCTGGGAAACAAGAGTGAGACTCCATCTCAAAAAAAAATTTTTTTTAACCCCAACTTTGAGACTAAAGTAGACCATAGTTTACCAACCTTCATTAAACATGTGGAGCCTTTTTTTTTCCCCAGAGGCACGGTTGAATTTATGTTTTGATATAATCACATTCACACAATTCATTATCCAAAATATAAACTGTGAACCAGGAAAAGTCTCTTTCCCATTCTCATCCCAGCCACCTAGGGAGCGGCTGGATTCATGCCTGGCTTGTCTAGGATAAGCCTTTGCTCCATCCGTGGGTCTCCAGCCCATGGGTCGGAAACCCCCAGTGAAGACCAATCCTTTCCTTTGCTCTTGAGGCTCAGAAAGGTCAGGTGACTGCTGCAGGGCCACAGAGCAAGTCAGCTGCAGAACCAGAATTCACATCTGGGTCTCCCCGCCACCTCATCACCTCCCTGCCTGCTCTCCCTCCCCACAGCTTGGGGGCTGGAACATCACAGGTCCCTGGGCCAAGGACAACTTCCAGGACACCCTGCAGGTGGTCACTGCCCACTACCGCACCTCACCCTTCTTCTCTGTCTACGTCAGTGCCGATTCCAAGAACTCCAACAGCAACGTGATCCAGGTGAGCTAGCTTGAAACACAGCGGTCGGGGGTGTGAGCACGACCTCTTCCTGTTTTGAGTTTAGTGGGCCCTGGCGTAGGAGAGAGACTTGCACTGGGTGGGAGGGCAGTCTTCTAGTTTCTGAGCCTGGGTTATTTCCAGAGGCCCCATTGGTGAGATCTCTTTTTTTTTTTTTTTTTTTGAGACAGAGTCTCGCTCTGTCGTCCAGGCTGGAGTGCAGTGGCATGATCTCTGCTCACTGCAAGGTCTGCCTCCTGGGTTCATGCTATTCTCCTGCCTCAGCCTCTGAGTAGCTGAGTAGCTGGGACTACAGGCACCCGCCACCACACCCGGCTAATTTTTTTTGTATTTTTTAGTGGAGACGGGGTTTCACTGTGTTAGCAAGGATGGTCTTGATCTCCTGACCTCATGATCCACCCGCCTCAGCCTCCCAAAGTGCTGGGATTACAGGCGTGAGCCACCACGCCCGGCCTCATTGGTGAGATCTTTGCAGGCTGCTGGCTTTGCGTAGATGGGCACTGTACAGAGCTGAACCTTCGGGTGCTGATGAGTTTCCGTGGACCCCAAGGGCGACTGTCAACTCCTGGACACAGCTGAACACACATCCTGGTTTCCCCCTCCTTAGCGTCTGCTCTTTGTGACTCTTCTTGGAATGGTTTTGAATCCATCTCTCCCTGTCAGAGCATGCCCCAGACAGAGGGTCAGCCTGCCCAGGGGAGCTCCAACACTGGTCTGCCCCAGCCTCCGATGCAGAAGTAAGAAACCCAGGCTGGGGATCCTAAAGACTGAGTTCCCAGCCCATCTCTACCATTCACTCACTGGGTGACCATGGGCAAGTGCCTCAACCTCTCACAGCTGCAGTTACCCTATAAATCAAATGGATTGCAGTAACACCCGTCCTAGGTATGCCAAGATGTGGCCATGGGCGCCGATAGTAGCAAGCAGAAATGGACCCTCCCGTCCTGCTTGGCAGGCACTTGACCAGCACTGTCTTCTTCAATCCCCATTCCAGCTCTGAAGGTTAGGTTTTATTTTCTCTGTTTTCCTGATAAGGAACCTGAGAATCAGAAAGGTTCAGTAACTTGGCCAAGATCACAGAGCTTTTAAGTGACCCTTAACCACTTGGAAAGTGTTGGGGAGGTAGAGGCACTTTGCTGAGGCGAGGAGGTGTTTAAAAAAGGAGGGTGGCTCTGTCCAGCCCTTCTGAGGAGCCCAGGAGCCCTGCGGGGGGGGCCGCGTGTACAGGCAGGAATGTGTCATCCCGTCCCTGAGTGGGCTTCTCAGTGACTGTAGCCAGCAGTCCTGCTTCTGCAGGAGCCTGAGCTGGGTCTCTGCTGCCACGTACCAGCCATTCTCAGGGCAGGAGGCCGTGCAGTGGAGACACGCATTGCAACACGAATTCCCTCTCATGCCTGCTTCTCTCGTCAGGTGGACCAGTCTGGCCTGGGCTTGCCCTCGAGAGACTATTACCTGAACAAAACTGAAAACGAGAAGGTAAGCGTACCTCTCCCCTCCCCAGCCCGCCTCCCAGGATGGTCCTTCCTGCTCAGTGTCTAGGGGAGCCCGGGGTGTCAGTGACGTGATAGGTGAAACAGGCAGACCCTGGCAGGGGAGGAACACCCCTAGGCTGGCTGTCACTCAGGCATCGTGGACACAAGGGGCAAGAGACAGGTATCATTGGTCCTGGTTCTAGAGAGAGGGAGAGGCAGCAATAACAACTGCCCGCATTGTGGGCGCCTGGCCCTTTGTACATCACCTGTGACCCTCCCATTAACCCTGCGGATCCTGAGCTTCATTTGCCTCATCTGTCCAACAGGAATTAGTTTTGTCTGGCCTTTTACAGAAGAGGGAATCAGGCTCAGAGACACTAAGTGATCTGCTCAAGGTCACATAGCCAGTAAATGACGAGCCTGAGATTCACATCCGGATCCACATGCTCCGAAGCCCACGGCTCTCCCTCCCCCTGGCCTGCCTCTTGCGGTGCTCTTGGGGTGATCTCGCCTGGAACTCACTCATCTGTCCTTTCATTATTCTGCCTGCATGTACTTGACCAAGCACCCACAGAGTGCCTGATGCTGGGGAGATGGTGGCAGACAAGACCACCATAGCCTTCGTCCCGTGGGGCCTGTGGTTTGGTCGGGGAGGCAGGTATTATTTAACTAAGGGAAAGGGGAGCTGAGAAAGTCTACTGTGGGGACCTAATTCAGATCCTGGAACACGGGTGGAGAGTGGTCAGAAAAGGTACATTCTAAGAATGGAATGACAGCCCCAGGACAAGCCCTTTAAGACAGGGACCAGCCCAGGTGGGGACCTGTGAGATGAGCCAAGACTTTGGGCTTTCTCCTGGAGGCTGTAGGGAAGCAGCGGAGAGACACGATCCCAAGATCATTCTGAATGCTGTGTCTCCCACGGTGTCTTTATTCCTTTTTTTTTTTTTGACTCTGCCGGGGCCAGCGCTGGATGTGCGTGCATGTCTGGGCTCACTGCACCCTCCTCCTCCTTGGTATCACCGCGATTCTCCCTGCCTCAGCCTCCTGGGTAACTGGGGATTATAGGCGCCCGCCAACTATGTCCAGCTAATCTTGTATTTTTAGGTGGAGATGGGGTTTCACCCTGTTGGGCCAGTTGGTCTCAACCCTGACCTCAGGCTGATCCACCCACCCTCAGCCTCCCAAAGTGCGGATTACAGGTGTGAGCCACCCACACCTGGCCCCACGGGTGTCTTGGGGGGCACTATGCCGTCCCTGGGCTCCCTGTGCCCAGACTCAGTTGGCCAAGCCCCCCAACCCCCGTTGCCTTCATTTGCTAGAGTGCTTTGGGGCACGCTCAAGCGAACCCTTCTGGTCCAGTGGATAGTGAGGGGCAGCCACTGACAGTTTGGAGTATGGGCCCTGCAGGTGCTGACCGGATATCTGAACTACATGGTCCAGCTGGGGAAGCTGCTGGGCGGCGGGGACGAGGAGGCCATCCGGCCCCAGATGCAGCAGATCTTGGACTTTGAGACGGCACTGGCCAACATCACCATCCCACAGGAGAAGCGCCGCGACGAGGAGCTCATCTACCACAAAGTGACGGCGGCCGAGCTGCAGGTAACTTGAGCACTGGCTGCTAGGGAGGCTGGGATGGCCACCAGGCTTCAGTCAGGGCCCTGGGCTGGCGGCTTTTATACTCATTTCATCTAGTCCTTGAAACTACGTGACGAAGGATGGTGGTTACGCCCAGTCCACAGATGGAAAAACTGATGCTCAGAGAGGTCAAGTTACCTGCTGAAGGGCACACAGCTAGTAAGTGACTCCAAAATAGGCACCTGGCCGACACCAGGCTGCTTCTCTGTAATTAATAGTGTTTACTGGGAGACTCAGGGTCACGACCACACCAGCTTACATTGACAGCGCCTTTCCAGTCTCTTCAGCACCAAGAGCCTCGAACCTGGTTACAGTGAGCACTTACTAAATGTGTGGTGTGAATTCCGTCATTACTCTTCCCTTTCCTGAGCCAGATCAAGGTCCAGAGGCTCCTAAGTGGCAGAAGAGCCAGCCAAATGACTCAGATTGGCTCACTGTACAACAGGGCGTTAGATCTGCGATGCTCTCTGTCACCCATTGGAGAAGCCGGACGTCCACTGGAGAAGCCCGACGTCCAGGGGCTCAGCCTCTGCCAAAGGCTGCCCTCTGGCAGCTGCTTGGTCCTTGAGGGTCTGGAGGGAATAGGCTGCTGGTTCCTTCTTTCCAGAGCATCAGCTGGCATTGCAGAGGGATCAGCAGAGTGACCACCACTGATCTTCCCGTTTCTTGACATCACCCAGGAATGCGTGGCTAGGTCTTGCTTCTCTGCTGGCGGGGGGGGCTCCCCCAGAGTGTCTTCTCCCTCCTTCCTTATCTTCTGACCAGCCAAATTCGACCTGTCCGTTCCTTCTACTTTCAGGAAGAACACTAGGTCCCTGCCCTTTTCCCTCCTCCATCTGACAGGTGTATATGGGGCCGCCTTGGGACCTTGCACTTCATGTGCTTCCAGGCTAGTGGGGGACACCAGCTAGAAACAACCCCGTCTCATTGCTGAGTGCTTTGGGCAAAAGCAGTGGGCCCTGGGAGCCAAGGGTGGGAAGTCAGGGAAGGCGAGTCTAATGATGGGTGAGCATTTCCAGGCCACTGGGTGTCCCAGGCAGAGGTGCAAGCCATGCTAGGGCCTGCAATGAGGGTCAGGGGAGCCTGGCCTCCTGCTGGTGCTGACTGCCCTTCAGCTCCCAGAGAAACTGGCCTGAGGCTGAGTGGTGCTGCATGGGCCCGGATGGAGATCAGCAGCTGCTGTTAGATACCATCTGGCATTATTTTCCTGCTCTGAGGCCAGGAGGCTCAGGGTGATGTTGTTTGTGCATTATAATTTGGTTTGTTCCAGCCCGGTTCTCAGCCTGAGGGGCCCCCCAGTGCCTCAGCCCCCTACTGTGGCCATGATGCCAACTGTCTGTGCCAGGAACAGCGGAGAAGGCACAGGAGCCCTGAACACATCAGCCCAGCATGACCACCAGGTTCCCCCCAGGCTTCCTATCACCATTGCTTCTGCTCCCTTCTTCCAAGCAAAGGAAGAAAGGCCTTTCTTCCCTCCCAGCTGCACAGCTGCCAAGGTGGAGGAGTTTAGCAGACGCAGCAGCTTGCAGTACACAAGCCCTGGGCTTAGATTCAGAGGACTGTAAGCCCCTTGGAGCTGTAAGTGCTGGGAGTATAGGCATGAACCACCACGCCTGGCCAAACAGCCTCTGTGTTCTAAGTACCCAAAGTTCAATTAAGATCTTTAGGAAATATATGGTTTCTCTCCTTATGTTTTTACAGATATTTCTGATTAAATTCTAATGTGAATTTGGCTGCCTTCCTTGTAAAATGGGCTTGGCTCATCCACTCACCCCTGCTGTGTGCCAGAACACAAATGAGACATAGCCCTTGTCCTCACAAGGGACTGTGGTTCTTTTTTTTTTTTTGAGACAAAAAGTCTCACTCTGTCGCCCAGGCTGGAGTGCAGTGGCATGATCTCAGCTCACTGCAACCTCTGCCTCCCGGGTTCAAGCCATTCTCCTGTCTCAGCCTCCTGAGTAGCTGGACTTACAGGCAGGCACTACCACGCCCGGCTAATTTTTGTATTTTTAGTAGAGACGGGGTTTCACCATGTTGGTCAGGCTGGTCTCGAACTCCTGACCTCATGATCCGCCCGCCTTGGCCTCCCAAAGTGCTGGGATTACAGGCATGAGCCACTGCACCCGGCCTGTGGTTCTTAACTTTAAGTCACGGAGTCCTTTGAGAACAGATAAAAAACCATGGACTGTCTCCCAGAAAAAATGGGCATATATGCATGTGTTTAAAATTATGTCTGACATTTAAAGACGCCCTGGCTGGGCATGGTGGCTCAGGCCTGTAATCCCAGCACTTTGGGAGTCCGAGGCAGGTGGATCACCTGAGGTCAGGAGTTCAAGACCAGCCTGACTAATATGGTAAAACCTCATCTCTACTAAAAATACAAAAATTAGCCAGGTGTGGCAGTGTGCACCAGTAATAGTCGCAGCTACTCGGAGGTTGAGGCAGGAGAATCACTTGAACCCGGAAGGTGGAGGTTGCATTGAGCCAGGATCACACCACTGCACTCTAGCCTGGGTGACAGAGTGAGACTCTGTCTCAAAAAAATAAAATAAAAAATAAAGAAGTCCTGGCCCCCTGAAGCGTGTGTTCTAAGTAAGAATCTCTTCCTGGCCTGCCACAGGGTTGTAGGAGAATAAGTTGAGGCAAAGGATGAGATTTCATTCAGTAAACTCATTTGCACAGCCCAGTACAAGCATAACATGTTATATTCATTATTATTGTTATTATTCCTTTGTTATTAGCCATGTCACTCAGGTCCCCAGCACTAAATCAATTTGATTCATTCTACTCTGGGACAGAGAATGTCTTGTTCCCTGGTGTCTGGAAATGTGGTTTTCTTCCCATACTCCAGGTAACTTAGGGTAAAGCACGCCAGGCTTCACAGTGTGGTTCTAGGCTAGCCCTACTGGGGTACAGAATGGTTCCAGGCTAGTCCCCAGCAGAATCTGAACTCAGAGCTGTGAATCAGACACTTCCATTACTTCTAGGGGCCTGAGGACCTTCCCCTTCCTTTCTAGGACCCTCACGCCAAAGGCTGTTTGGGCCTGAGCCGCATTTTCTACCCGTTTCGCCCGCTAAGATGAAGCTGAGAAGCATTCTTCTCTCCCAGTTTCAAACCTATTTGATTTGGTTGGTTTGTGACCCACAGTACTCCTTGGCTGCAGGTGTGGAAAATGGAGCTCATTGGTGTGCCCCAGAGGGTGTGAGTCACAAGTGGAATGTCCTAGTCGGTTAAAAAAGCCATCTCCATGGAGATGGAGCTAGGCACATGTGTTTAAGATAGGAGTTCGCTAAAGCAGTCAGGATGGAAAATGTGAAAATCCTGGTAGTCAACACATGTTATCTCACAGTCATGGGAACTTCCCTGCACAGAACACCTGCATTCCCTAAAGGGCCAGGGTTGTGTTGAGGAGTACACAGGGATTTCTCACCATCTTATATCTGTACCTTGATCAGAGAGTTCCAGTTGTCTGCAGTTTATGAAGCTCTCGTTCACTGTGTAAACACTGACAGTTTGTAAACTTGTCGATTTTCCCAAGGACTTTGCCAGCAGGTCATGCAGTCAGGTGGTTCTAATGGTGGAGCCCTGTTTGAAGATCTCACAAGCACAGCTCCAATTTTTGTAGTCATAGAAATGTTAAAGATTAGCCTCAGAGGTTACCTGCCTAAGGGCCTCCTGCCAGGAGGACGGCAGACAGGACAAGGTAGAAAGAAAAGACACTCAGGGTTTTTGGGCAAGCAGGTACAAGAGGTACAGATCCATCAGCTCTGGGAGGGGAGGCTGTTGTCTGCATTTTAGAGAAAGAATGGAAAAAGGCTGGAGGTCCCAGAGCTGGTGCCTCCTGGGGACGCTGATCCAGGTCTGTTCATTCTTAGCCCAGGGCTCGTCCCAGCTCACCTAGCTGCCAGGCAGGCAGGGATGCACCGGGACCCCCTGGCCCCCAAGTCCCCTGCACCGCAGGTATTTTCTTCCCGGCTCCGCAGGTATTTTACCATCAGCCATGGGGGGAAGAGTTACCCAGAAACTGAGAGCCAGTTGTTAACTGTTTTGTTTTTGTTTTTGTTTTGAGACAGAGCTTCGCCCTGTTGCCCAGGCTAGAGTGCAGTGGAGTGATGTTGGCTCACTGCAACCTCTGCCTCCCAGGCTCAAGTAATTCTCATGCCTCAGCCTCCCAAGTAGCTGGGATTACAGGTATGCACGCCCACACCTGGTGGCTAATTTTTTTATATTTTTAGTAGAGACTGGGTTTCACCATGCTGGCCAGCCTGGTCTTGAACTTCTGCCCTCAGGTGATTCTCCTGCCTCGGCCACCCAAAGTGCTGGGATTACAGGCATGAGCCACCGTGCCCGGTGCAGTTATTAACTGCGTTACCAGCACACCACTGCCTTCAGGACCTGCCTTCCTCACAAATTCACCTGTCCTTTGAGGTCCTTGTTCCCCAGGAGCTGAGTTGCCCTTTTAAACCCAAAGAGATGAGTGAACCTGGGTTTTAGACCTCCACAGTGGCTAGTTAACTATGTGACCTCAGGACAGTCACCTTACCCCATCTGCAAATTCAGCATCTGTTAAGTGGGAGTTTATGGCTACCTCTCTCACAGGGAGTGTCATCGGTATTCACCAACGGGCTATAGACTGGTCTTAAGTTGCAGATCAATTTTACTTTATTGATTGATTTTTCCGCATGAAGGCCATATGTGGAGCCTCTGTCACCTCCTCTGTCTTGCATTTTGTCCTTTTTCAAGAAAATAAAAGAGAATTTGGAATTGGACAGGCCAAGGAACATACATGGGAGACCCTGAGCAAAGAGTAATGGCCAACATTGATGGATTGCTTGCCAAATGCCAGACATACCCTTCTAAGTGATTGACATGTACAGGCATTTTTGCTATAGCAGTATATGTAGTTCCTTGTGTTCTGTAAAATCATACACTAGAAATAGCAGTACAGGTGGAGAAAATAGAACAAGAGCAGAACAAAAGTTAGGCAACTTTACTTGAGGATATTGTGCTAAGCGAAATAAGCCAATCACAAAAGGACAAATGCTGCCTGATTCTACTTCTGTGAGGTACCTAGAGTAGGCAAGTTCATAGAGACAGAAAGTAGAATGGTAGTTTCCAGGGGTGGGGGTTGGAGCCAGTGGGAAGTTATTGCCTAATGGGTAGAGTCTCACATTTGCAAGATGAAATCTGTGGGGCCAGACGTGGTGGCTCACGCCTGTAATCTCCTCACTTTGGGAGGCCCAGACAGGTGGATCACCAGAGTTCAGGAGTTTGAGACCAGCCTGAGAAAAATATGGTGAAACCACATCTCTACTAAAAATAAAATTAAAGAAAAAAATTAGCCAAGGGTGGTGGCGTGTGCCTGTAGTCCCAGCTACTTGGGAGGCTGGGACAGGAGAATCGCTTGAACCCGGGAGGTGGAGGTTGCAGTGAGCTGAGATTGCACCACTGCACTCCAGCATGGGCGACAGAGCAAGATTCTGTCTCAAAACAAAATAAATAATAATAATAAAAAAAGCAGTCCGTGGCTGGATAGTGGTGGTGATGGTAGCACAGCAGTGTGAATGGACTCAATGCCCCTGAACTGTGCTTTTTTTTTTTTTTTTTTCTGAGGCAGGGTTTCACTCTGTCAACCAGGCTGAAGTGTAGTGGTGTGATTTCAGCTCACTGCAGCCTTGACCTCCCAGGCTCAAGCAATTCTCCCACCTGGGACCCCATGCCTAGCTGATTTTTAATTTTTTTTTGTAAAGATGGAGTCTTGCCATGTTGCCCATGCTGGTCTTGAACTCCTGGGCTCAAGCGATCTGCCCACCTCAGTCTCCCAAAGTGCTGAGGTTACAGGCATGAACCAATGCATCTGGCCTTGAACTGTGCTCTTAAACATGGTGAAGATGGTGAATTTTATGTTATATGTGTTTTACCACAATTTTTTTTTTTTTTTTGAGATGGAGTTCTCACTCTGTTGCCCAGGCTGGAGTGCAGTGGCATGATCTGGCTCACTGCAACCTCCGCTCCCGGGTTCAAGCGATTCTCCTGCCTCAGCCTCCGAGTAGCTGGACATTAGGCATGTACCATCACAGCTGGCTAATGTTTGTGGTTTTGGTAGAGACAGGGTTTTCACCATGTTGTCCAGGCTGGTCTCGAACTCCTGACTTCAGGTGATCCACTGGCCTCCTCCTTCCAAGTGTACCACAATTTTTTTTTTTTAAGTGTGGCAACTTTGTAACCAGAATCCTAACAAAACAATAATTGGAACCTTAAGGAGTACCTCAACATTGGCTGTGAGGCTGCCTTGGGGAAAGTGCAACATGGGAAGGTGCTGCTGTGTACACCAGGCCTGCAGGATAAGGACAGGGCAGCTCTGGCCTGCACAGTGGGCTCAAAGTGCTGGTTATTCCCAGCACTTTGGAAGTCAAGGGCAGGTGGATCATGAAGTCAGGAAGTTTCGAGGCCAGCCTGGCCAATGGTGAAACCCCATCTCTACTAAAAATACAAAAATTAGCCAGGCATGGTGGCACATGCCTGTAATCCCAGCTACTCAGGAGGCTGAGGCAGGAGAATCACTTGAACCCAGGAGGCAGAGGTTGTGGTGAGCTGAGATTATGCCACTGCACTCCAGCCTGGGTGTCAGAGTGAGACTCCGTCCCAAAAAAAAAAGACAGGGAGCTCTGAGCAAGCGCCTTTAGGGTCACAGAGAAAGTGCAACCTGCTGGAGGCTGAGAGTTACAGGGCTGGAAGGAGCTTCTGTGAGGAGAGGAAGCCCTAGGCGCAAGGGCTTATTTTCAGTCATCTTAAAAGAGCGGACCAGGCTGGGCGCGGTGGCTCATGCCTGTAATCCCAGCACTTTGGGAGGCTAAGGCAGGCAGGTCACTTGAGGTCAGTAGTTCAAGACCAGCCTGGCCAACATGGCAAATCCCTGTCTCTACTAAAAATACAAAAATTAAGCAGGCATGGTGGTGGGTGCCTATTGTAATTCCAGCTACTCACTTGAACCCTGGAGGCAGAGGTTACAGTGAGCTGAGATGGCACCATAGCACTCCAACCTGACGAAAGAGACAGACTCCGTCTCAAAAAAAAAAAAAAAAGAAAAAAGTAGGCTGGGCGCAGTGACTCACACCTGTAATCCCAGCACTTTGGGAGGCTGAGACGGGCGGATCACGAGGTCAGGACATTGAGACCATCCTGGCTAACACGGTGAAACCCCATCTCCACTAAAAATATAAAAAATTAGCCAGGCATGGTGGCGGGCACCTGTAGTCCCAGCTACTCAGGAGGCTGAGGCAGGAGAATGGCGTGAACCCGAGAGGTGGAGCTTGCAGTGAGCCGAGATCGTGCCACTGCACTCCAGTCTGGGCGACGGAGTGAGACTCTGTCTCAAAAAAAAAAAAAAAAAAGAAAAGGTAGAGCTGACCAGCCTGCTGTGTGCATCAGCTGAGCTGAGGGCTTTTCCTTTCTTACTGAAGGTTGGCGTTCAACCCTTCCCAATCCCATGCCTGAGAAACATCACCTTCAGACCAATGCAGCTCACACGTTATCCTGCTGTCATCCTGAATTTACCAATCATGTGGAAGCTCACTGATGTTACAGAAGCCCATGTTGAATAGAACAGACAGCATAAGCTTGTTCAGTCCTCACAAATGACTCAGTGAAGTGGATTCTGTTATTGTGGTGATCCCCACTTTTCAGACAAGATACTGAGGCCCAGAAGGGTTCATTAACTTACCCAGGGTTACACAGCTAGCAAGGAAGAGAGCTAGAAGATGAGCCCAGGCAGTTTGGCTGCAGATTCTACATGCTCAACTGTTTCAGGCCTGTCTGAAGCTCAGTCTCTTCATCCATGAAGCAGGGATAATAGTGCCTACTGCTTGGACTCTCGCGAGGACCGGCTGGAATCGTATGCATGAATCATTTGCCACAGTTCCTGGCACACAGGAGATGCTTGCTGAATGGTAGCGGTAGCTACTGCATCTTCTCATTCCATCCTCGTTCCATTTCGAGTTAAATTTTGGTGTTGGACTCCTTAGAATTCTACCTACAGCATCTCTGATAAAAGTCCGCCAGGCTCTGCTTGACTCTCTGCCCAGTGCACTGTCAGATGGCGCCAAGCCCAAGCTCTTTCCTTTGTTTCCTGTAGCAGCCCGTCCTGGAGACCTGGGCTATGAGGAGAAGCAGCCCCACAGGGTCACATTGTCCTTTTCCCTTGCAGACCTTGGCACCCGCCATCAACTGGTTACCTTTTCTCAACACCATCTTCTACCCCGTGGAGATCAACGAATCTGAGCCTATTGTGGTCTATGACAAGGAATACCTTGAGCAGGTCTCCACTCTCATCAACAACACCGACAAATGGTAAGGGAACTCCCAGTGGCCTGGGGCATGCCTCTCACAGGCAGCCCTCTTCTTGGGTAGGCTGGGCAGGGGTGGGGATGACAGTCTGACTCAGGAGAGTGGGACCTGGGCGGGCTTTTATGAGAGGCAGCAGGACATCCTGGTTACGGCTGCAGGTTTAAATCCCAGCCTCTTTCCAACTACCAGCTTTGTAGCCTTGGGCAAATTTCTTACAGGTGGCGCGATCTCGGCTCACTGGCAGCTCGCCCTCCTGGGTTTATGGCTATTCCTGCCCCCTCAGCCTCCTGAGTAGCTGGGGCTACAGGCGGCCGCCAACCTCGCCCGGTTAGTTTTTTGTATTTTTAGTAGGAGATGGGTTTCACCATGTTGCCAGGGATGGTCTCGATCTCCTGACCCTCGTGATCCGGCCCGTCTCAGCCTCCCAAAAGTGCTGGATTACAGGCTTGAGCCACCGCCGGCCTGGCCAGAATTTTTTTA